TTTCCAAAGCAATACAAGAAGAATCATAAACACTACTAACCTAAAATCTTTTACACAGAACAGCATAAGTACTAAAAAGGACACATTGAGGACTACAAAATTTAGATAAAACAGCTCAAATTTTTTCCTGAGGCATTCTTCCTAGTTATATTACATTTGCAAAGCACTGAAAGATGACAGTAATTCTCACAGAATTTAATATATTCATTTACTCACAGGAAATCTATGTCACTTCCAAATGCATCCACAGTTACTGCACTTATGCTAAGCTGCAACTTAAACACTATTTGATGTGTTTTTGGACGTCCCTCAATTTTTATAATTCTTTGGAGTGAAATAGTCTTCGAATCTTCTGAAACCGGTATTTCTCTAAGTTGCCCTATCTCTATTTGTTAAGAAAATTTTAGATTATGTCAAATCGGCTGATGTGGATTTTTCTATCTGATTGGTTGTGCCTCAAATATTTTTTATGAAAGTAATTCCATAGACTACTTGATCTTATATTTTAATGTTAAAATTGATGGTATGCCATATTGTTATATTCCTTGTTACTGTGGGAGAAAAAAAAATTCTTTGCCTATAAAGCCAATCATGAATTCTGCCTTCCTTATCCACCCTTTTTCTCTTTAATGGAATGGCGTTAGGCCTAGATTGTAATCATATGAACCGAGCATCTTAGAACACAATCTCCGAAGGCCGAAGAATGCACAGAATTGATTCAGTGTCAGTATTTTAGTGTGTTCTACAGGTACAGCATTTGAAGCATGTCTCCTCATCACCATTTCCCTTCTGAGACATGTGTGCTGTGTTCCTGTGGGACATAAACACGGCATCTATACCAGAGAGATAACTGTGTCCAGACCTTAAATGAGTGTTGTTTCTTGTATATTACCTGTGAGACTATTGTGTCTTGCTTATTTAAGAGACATAGAACATTCATTATAGAATGTGACTATATCAGAAATCATCGCATTAGCTAATTTTCTTTGTTCATCTACATTCCTAATTTCCTCAAGTCTCCTTACATCCAGGAACACACTCTGCCTGGGATCACGTGGTCAAGCTGTACTTTTTGTTGCAGGGTCTGCTGACATTCAGGGACGTAGCAGTGGACTTCTCCCGGGAGGAGTGGGAATGCCTGGACTGTACTCAGAGGGCTTTGTACATTGATGTAATGTTGGAGAATTACAGCAACCTGCTGTCTGTGGGTGAGAACATTTTGCTTGTAGAGCCCTAACTCAGGCTTTGTATGTACTGACTACTCTATATATTGTTAACTCTGTCAAGCTGTCTTAGAAACAACTAGGGACAGTTTGGTAGTAGGAAAGAACTTTTTCTTAGAATTTGACTTTCCTTTCCATTTTCCATGTTAGAGGTATCATACGTCCCTCAATTTGGTTCCAAAATGCATTCAGAAACTCAGTAGTGTATACAATTTCAATACGTATCTCCAAGCTCCAAGTCCCATCATTATACCTGACATGGTTTTGTGAGGAAAAACTCAAGATATCTGAGCTAAAATTTCTCCCTAAATATGCTGAAGATTCTGAAGGAAATGGCAACTGGAAAAGCATTCCTAGATTCCTCCACTTTGTCTTCCTTCGCGTAGTGAGCCCTGTCCTGTGGTACATGTCTGTATTCTTTCTAAAAATTCTAGCACGTGTCATGGGCTACTCCACAGAACACGTGGATTATTGGATGCAATAATAGTCAACAGTCGAGAGCCAATGAGATTGCCCTGAAATGAGAAGAGGAGAGAGTAGCCACAAACAGGGTGGGCTAGTGAATTAGCGCAACAATAGTGATGGTGTCAAGTGAAAGACAAAACAAGAGTTGTCAATGTCTTTGGAATATTCAATTCCACTTGAAAGGATTCCTGATCACTTAACTTAGTGTAGTGTCCTGGCCCCAGGATGCATCCTGTCTGCTGTAAGTCTTAGAACACATTGTGCCTTATTACAACGGAATTAAGGTGACTTAATACTAGCACAAAATGCAACTTTATTTGACTAAGCTGATGTCAGATCAGAATAATTTTGCAAACTCTAAGTCTAACATGAGCCCATGAAGAAGGATTATTCTGTAATTGCCTTCCTAGTTGTGTGTCTTCGTAGTACATCTTTCATTTTGTTCCCAGTGGAGAATAAACAGACCCCCTTGTGGGAAATAATCTCAGGAGAGGGGACTTGAGAACAACCCTATGAGGAAAGTTAAGAGACACAGCAGTGTGTGGAGCTCAGACAGGGGAGGATAGAAATAAGCAATGGCTGCCCCTGGCGTGGTGTAGAACTTCTGATGTCTGGCAGAATACTGTGTTTGCATCCATTACTTTCGAACATTCTAATGTGTTTTTCTAGAGAAAGAAATAAATCCTGTGGTGTTTTTTCCCCAGCTTTTTATTTCATTTTACATTCCAACGACAGTTCTCCCTCCCACCCCTCCTTCTGCCTGTCCCGTTCCTGTGATGCTTTTAAATAAAACTCTAATCTTTAAAGGAATTGGGTCTTCTAAACAGTACTCCTCATTGCCTATCACTTAGCAAGTACAAACACTGTGAACCTGGGATTGGATTAAACTCTTCTTTTCTGAGCAGTAATATTTAAAAATAGAGACATGTATTCTAAATATAGTAAGTCAGTGAGCTCCATCCCAGAATTAATTACTGATTCCTCTTGTGCCATTAGACATTTCGATAAAGATGAGATATCTGTTATATCATAGATCCTTGATGGCTGTCAGACTGTTTTTGTGAGAATACATAAAATTACAGTAAAAGAAGAAATATTTAAGTACTTGCTGGCGGGCTTACATTAAGAGAGAGCGTAGGGAGACAGTCATTTATCACATGTTTAGTCTTGGAACAAGCCCTATTAATCTGAACTGTACTCATTTTCAGAGAACTGCTGCATATGTAATCCTGTCCATCACCATGTGAAGACTGAAAAGGAATCTTGTCAGTGTAATGAGCTTGGCAGAGTCCTTCATGACCCCTCCACATGTGCACTTTATAGAACAAGTGAAACTACAGAAAACGCCAATAACTACACATGCAGTAATCCCAGGGATGCCTCTCTTGACTCAGCAAACCCAGACAGACATGAAAGCAGGCACACTGGAGAAGAAGCTTGCCGATCTAAAGACTGTGAGAAATCAGTAAATTTGTGTTCCAACATTAATCAAGATCAGAGAGTCTACGCTGCACAGAAAGAACACAGGCAGGGAGAATATGATGACTGCTTTGACTCTACATACAGTCATTTGCAGGAAAAATTCTCCATCGGAGAGAAACCACACCAGTGTGGGAAATGTGGGAAATACTTCAGTGCTGCCTCAAGCCTGACTGTACATCGGAGAATCCATACTGGAGAGAAACCTTACAAATGTGGAGAATGTGACAGATCCTTTAACCATCGTTCGAACCTTAGAACACACCAGAGAGTCCACACTGGAGAAAGACCTTACAGTTGTAAGGAATGTGACAAATCTTTCACTATGTACTCATACCTTGCAGCACATCAGATAATCCATACTGGAGAGAAACCCTACAAATGCAAAGACTGTGACAAATCCTTTATCCAGCGTTCAAAACTTAGACTGCATGAGAGAGTCCACACTGGAGAGAAACCTTACAGGTGTAAGGAATGCGACAAATCTTTTACTAAGTACTCATACCTTACAGCACATCAGATAATCCATACTGGAGAGAAACCCTACAAATGCAAAGACTGTGACATGTCCTTTCTCTGGATTTCTACTCTTAGAATACACCAGAAAATTCACACTGGAGAGAAACCTTACAAATGCAAAGACTGCGACATGTCCTTTAATCGGTTTTCAAATCTTCGAAGACATCAGAAACTTCACACTGGAGAGAAACCTTACAAATGTGGAGAATGTGACAAGTTCTTTACCCACTTGTCAAATCTCAGAACACACCAGAGAGTTCACACCGGAGAGAGACCTTACAGTTGTAAGGACTGTGACAAATCCTTTACTCGGTGGTCTAACCTTAGAGCACATGAGAAAATCCACACTGGAGAGAAACCCTACAAATGCAAAGACTGTGACATGTCTTATGTCCACCTTTCCAGTCTTAGAAGACATCAGAGAGTTCACACCGGAGAGAAAAATACCACTCTCCTAATGTGACATAGCATTTTTTTTTTCAGTGTTCTCTACTTATAAACCCCAACACTCTACATAATGTGTTACGGGATAAATTCTTGTATACTGTGAAGATGTGTCTTTGCCAAAGCACCATCTGATTGGTTTAATAAAGAGCTGAACGGCCGATGGCTAGGCAGGAGAAAGTAGGCAGAACTTCTCAGAAGAGAGAGGGCCTTGGAATGAATCTGGTGTGGTAGGAGATGCTGGAAAGACATGGGAGGAGTCAGACATACAGAAGGGAGGAGAGGTAAAGAGCCAATTGGCAGAACAAAGGTTAACAGAACATGTGTTACTTTACGATATCAGAGCAGGCTGGGGGGCGGGAGAGATGGCTCAGAGGTTAAGAGTACTGACTGCCATTCCAGAGGTCCTGAGTTCAATTCCCAGCAACCACATGGTGGCTCACAACCATGTATAATGCAATCTGGTGTCCTCTTCTGACATGCAGGCAGTACACTGAATACGTAATAAATGAATAAATCTTAAAAAAAAAAAAAGTAGGCTGGGAACAATCCTAAGCTAGAGGCCAAGTTTTCATAATAAGTCTTTGTGTCATTCTTTGGGGCCTGGGGTCCAAAGGAAGTCTAACAAGAAAAACAAGCTGCAATAATAGAAACATAAAGATAAGAAACATAGGGCTGGAGAGATGGCTCAAAGGTTAAGAGCACTGGCTGCTCTTCCAGAGGTCCTGAGTTCAATTCCCAGCAACCACATGGTGGTTCACAACCATCTGTTATGAGATCTGGTGCCCTCTTCTGGTATGCAGACATACATGGAAGCAGAATGTTGTACACATAATAAATAAATAAAATCTTTTTAAAAAAAAAAGATAAGAAACATATCAAAACCTGTAATGAAGTTTTAAATCTTGGGAAATATCACAGAGTTTATATTTTAAAAAAATTCTGTTGGCTGGGTGTTGGTGGCACACACCTTTAATCCCAGCACTCAGGAGGCAGAGGCAGGCAGATCTCTGTGATTTCGAGGCCAGCCTGTTCTACAGAGCAAGTACCAGGATAGGCTCCAAAGCTACACAGAGAAACCCTGTCTCGAAACCAAAAGAAAAAAATTCTGTAATAGTAACTGTGAATTTTTTTAGTATATATGGGTGCGTCGTCCAATGTGTAAAGAGTTGTGTTGCAACTCTGTCTGGATGCTGCTTACTTGCCAGGTGCCTGTGAATGCCATCAGAGGGCATAAGATTCTCTGAGGCTGTAGTTACAGACAGTTGTGAGCTCCTACGTGTGTGTTAGGAATTAAACACCAGTCCTCTGGAAGAGCAACCAGTGCTTTTAACAGCTAACCCTTGACTCCAGCCAATGGGAAATGCTGTAAAAAAAAAAAAAGTCCTTTATCTTAGATGGATGGTGGTACACAGTGTACACAGCTAGTTCCCCTTCCCATGCTTCCTGAGTGCTGGGTTAAAAGTCTTGCATGACATTGCTCAACTGCATATAATTTGTTGTTGCTGTTGTTTTTATTTGCTATGTACCCTTTTCTGACCTGGAACTCACTATGTAGACCAGGCTGGACTTGAACTCACAGAGGTCTACCTGTCTCTCCCTCCAGAGTGCTAGTATTAAAGGTATGTGTCACTACCACAGATCCTGTTATCATGTCTTGACAATTACCCAAGGTAACTGCACAGCCTACTTGATAGAACTGAGTGATTAACTGGATCTCTTGTTAACTGACATTAAGATTTCTGTTACACTAACTTGGAAATGCTTATTGAAATAGATGGATATAAGATACCAGGTGGGTATAATATACCAAATTTAAAAACCATGAAATAAATATGTAAACAGAACTACCGATGTTGCTACTGATGTAGCCACGTGACTGAAACAGATATAAAATGCCACCCATAAAACAACCCCATGACCACACTGACAGGATTCTACCGGAACTCCAGAGAAAAACCAACAGCAAAGCTGCTACTTAAAATACTTCTTGACTCGCCAGGCAGTGGTGGCGCATGCCTTTAATCCCAGCACTTGGGAGGCAGAGGCAGGCTGATCTCTTTGAGAAAAGCCTGGTCTACAAGAGCTTGTTCCAGGACAGCCTCCAAAGCCACAGAGAAACCTTGTCTGAAAAAAAAAAACCTTCTTGACACAAAAAAGAAAAGACTTCTTGACCCTTAGTATTACCTGATATTATACCAGATAATGACCTGAGCACGGTAGCACATAACCACATTGTAGAGACAGAGATAGGTGGATCTCAGTGAGTTAGAGGCCAGCCTGGTCTTCAAAGTGAATTCCAGACAAGCCAGAGCTGTTATACAGAGAAACCCTGTCTTTAAAAAAAAAAAAAAGATAGATAGATAGATAGATAGATTAGTATATTTTTAAAAAACAGACAAGAATAGAAACACAAAAGGAAAGTACACACTAATATATTCATTTAATCAAATTTCTGAGCTTGGGAGGATGGCCAATACCAGCAATCCTGAGGAAAGGGCTGGCTAATCTCTGGGACTTCAAGACCAGCCTGGTTTACTCTTACAAAGCTAGATCCAGGACTGCCAGGGTTACACAGAGAAACCCTATCACACACAAAAAAAATCTGTTATTAACTGTTTCATACATACACACATACATATATTCACACAGTCTATGTGTGTTTGTGCCCAGAACCTCAAATACTGCCCACTTTCACCTCCTACCTCTCTACTATCCTGGTCCACAATTCCAAAACATCTCTAGTGTGTTCATGTCCATTTATTTTCCTTTGGGATCCCCAGAGATTAACTAAGGTCATGTGTGAGACTGTGGGTTTTGGAGCTCTGTGTTGGGTCCTGCTGGGCTGAGCAGAGGGCTGCTCCTAAGGGCAGTGATTTTTCTACAATCCATCCCCAGACAACATTTGAGAGGGAAAGGGTGGGGCCCTGTGAGGCTTTGCCTATCCTAGACTGACTGTGGTCTAGTGTGAGGTCAATGCAGTACAGCTGCTGTTGGTTACTGATTACAGCAGCTGTATGGAGTCTAGCGTCTCTTCCTCAGTGTTCCCAGAGCCACTGACTTTTGTGTGGCTGGTACAAAATACCTTCCTTATTTTCTGCATCTGGGACAACAAGAAGCTCTGCACTCACCGTGTCATTTTTATAAAATCCTATAATTTATCTAAATAGTACCTTTAGCATGAGTCACAGAAGCCAAGCTTGTTTCTGAGTTAGTAAATTGAAAAGACCCCCATCTAGTGGTGACAGCGTGGGATGAGCTCCGCCCTGGGCAGTTAGCAATGGGCTGACCACTGACTTCTGCAGACACCGATTTCTTTTCAGAATCCAAGTTCCTGAAACGTCTCTCCCCCAAGTCACAGTTGCAGTGTTTGGTTTTGGCTTCTCATGTTTGTGTTGGCGATGAGATAGACGCTGGCATCTGAATTTAGCCTGTTGTCATTTGCTTGAAGAGGAGGCCGGGTGTCAAGTCCAGGTTGGGCTGCCTGTCTTTTCTCTGGAGGTCTCAGCGCTCACTGTGGGGTCAGACACCGGGGTGCAGCGTCCTCCTGGCTGCAGCTCTGGTCTAGGCTGCAGCAAGCGTGTGTGGAGCCTGCGCAGAGCGGGTCCAGGGCGGCCTGACAGCCGAGCTGTGTGCAAGGCGGCTGGAGACCGAGTGGGAGGGAGGGAGTACAAT